TAATTTTTTTTTTAAATAACATAAATTACTATGGAATAAGTGCTCTTATGTTCTTGAATATGCTTTCTTTTGCTACCCCTGAAATATTGTAACCATTGATTCTTCGCTTATTTAATGTTGAATTTTATAATTTTTGACTAACAGACATTGATTATTCACTCAGTTTCAAGCTTTTCTGGTATGTTTCTAATGAAGTTTAATATTTCTTACTTCTGAAAACTCGTAACAACATTTTATAATTTCAGATAGGGTGAACTAAAAGTCTAAAACACTAATAGAAAAGCTTACTTTGGTAATTACAAAAACGGTTTGTTTTTTTGGGTAATTACAAAAATGGTTGCAAGTTGAAATTAATAGAAAAGTTTTTGTGAGGAGAAACAGATCAGAAGGAAGACACTCGCATGATGTTGCATATGAAGTAAGCATGGGCATGGTAAGCACTTTCCTACTAAATAATAACAACACTATTGATAGTAATCATTTTTTCAAAAATATAAAATTATTTGATAGTAAATTTTTTAAAAAGGAAATTAGAAAAGCACTTTTGTAATGTGCTTAGTCAAGTAGTTAAACTACTTCTGCAATTTCTTTTCATTGAAATTTAAATTTGTAGGGTTGTTCTAATTATTTGATTGAATATTGTCGACCGAAAGAATTTTAGATATTGAAAAGAGAAATAAAAACAAATTATAAATTTAGAATTCCTAAATCTTAAGGAAATTTTGAATTAATAAAACTGATTCAACAAGAAAATTTGACTATTGATGAATGGTCTACAAACAAAAAGAGGAAACTATCGAATAAATTGACATTATATTCTTTTTGATAAGAGGAAACTATTGAATAAATGATTAATAAATTATTATGTTAAATTAGTATAGTTTTAGTTTTTAGTTAAAATCAATCTTAGTAAATGCGGAAATTATTGTTCGACTCATTTTAGTTAAAAATAAAATTTAATTAATGTAAAATTTATTATATAAAATCTGAGATTCGTTTGTTTATATTCAAATTTATGATTATTTTATATAAAAATGTATTACACCAAATAATAGGCAAAATATTTGAATCAAACCATTAAATCAAAATTCACCAAAAATTCGAACCGAATTATTTAAGAAGAAATAGCTAAAAATGACCTACAATTTCATTTTAAATGCAAAAGTAGATCCATTATCTCATGTTTGGCAAAAATAACCCAAGGGAGTAGTGAAATTACAATTACACCCATTATAACCAAAGAAAAAAATAGATGCAACTATTTCCGTTTTAACCTTCTGAGAAGTCTACTCTGTAATAAAAAAGTCTACTCCATTAGTAGACTTCAATTGAAGTCAACTTTAGATATTTTGTAGACTTCAATGGAAGTCTACTTACTAATTATATATGAAATTTAAATTTATAAATTAACAAAAAATAGTTTGATTMAACATTTGTATTCATGACCAAAMTATAAATAATTGTGAAGTATAAAAATTAAAATTTCACAAAATTTCATAAATTAAAGTAACAAAGATATATTAGGTTATAAATATCATACCAGTAGACTTCAATTGAAGTCTACTTACTAATTACATATGAAATTTAAATTTATAAATTAACAAAAATTAGTTTGATTAAAATTTTGTATTCATCACCATACTATAAGAAATTGTGAAGTATAAAAAATAAAGTTTCACAAAAATTCACAAATTATAAAAATAAAGATAAATGAGTTTTGAAAACTAAACATATCTTTTGATATTGAGGTAGTGATATGTTGGTAGTTATTTTTGTTTGAAATTTATAGTTTCATGAGTTTATGTTGTAATGGCTTAGATTGAGGGATTTATATTTGGGTTTTTTATATTTATGGATTTAGGGTTTAAAGTGAATAATTTTTTAGAGATTATAGTTTAGGGTTTGATGGTTTAAGGTTTTATAGTTTAGGTTTTGTGGATGGTAAATTTGGAGGTGTGTGTGGTTTAAGGTTTTATGGATGTTAAATTTGAAGGTATGTATTTTATATTTGGAGTTACAAATATGGGCAATAGTTTGATATCCTAAGTTGGAAACATGTTTTTACATTTAGGGTTAGAGGTTTTATAATTTTTATATTTAACATGTCAAATTTGAATAAAAGTGTTAATTTGTGAATATTTTAAACTTTTTGAATGTTTGATATAAGTTTTTATTTAGGGTTTTAGATAATCCATCGAAAATAGTTGGTCTAGGTTTTTCATAGACTTCTGGAGAAGTCTACATTTAGGGTTTAGAGTTTAGGGCTTCGTATACTTTGTTTGTAGACTTCGTTTGAAGTCTACTAAACCAAAAGTTTAACCTAACCGAATTTTTTTACCTGTCCATATAAACTCATACTTTCCGTAACCCTAATTTTTTTTGTTAAAAAAACCTTCACTCTCTCTCTCTCTTAAACGGTGGTCGATGCTTTTTACCTCCGCCGCCTCTCCTTTGTTGTTGCCGATTCTTGAAGGAGTAAGTATTTGTTCTTCATTTTTCATAACTCATCCTCCTCTCTAATCTGTACTTTAGATATCATCTTCATATGTTTCTCACTTATTTATGGTTTTCTTTATGGTTTGTTGCAAATCTAACCCTTCGTCGAGAGACAAAGGGCTGCTCTTTGAATAGGAAAAAGAGTGGATCTGCGGGGTCCCAAATGAATTGGCTTCCTCATATCCTCCTTTCGAGCCGGTAAACTTTATTTGACCCGCCATCTTTCTAATCTCCATCTTCACACATGTCTTTAACCGTTTATTCACATTTTTCTCTCTTATTATTCCAGATCTAAGTCACACTTCCGTCACAGTAAGT